CAGCCTGGGACCTGCCTCAGTGTTTTCGTGGATTTTGTTTTGTTTTGTTGATCAAAATTATTATAAAAAAACTGAATAAGTGAAACTATTGCATTATGGGAATCTAAATGAAAGACCGTGTTATGTTGTGTTACACTAAGAACTGGTGCTGAGCAGGTGTGTGCTAGGTGCTGTAGTGCTCAGCAGGTGCGTGCTAGGTGCTGCAGTGAGTCTGTCAACTTCTTGTCTGCTTACCATGGTCCTGTGAATGAAGCTGCTTGCGCATCTCGTTTGAGGGGCTCAGTTCCCTCCCTTGTGGTTGTCTGTAACCTTTCACCTGCTGGAGACATCAGCTTTGTGTAGGAAAGTGACAGAATCAGAATTTAAATCTAAGTCTTCCTGAGGCCAAGTATTCAAGCCTGTAGGTTGACCAGCAGTTGTGGGTTCTTGGGGATCAGATGCTCAACACCAGCTCAGGAAATGTCCCTGGCCAATAGGAAGGCTTGATCTGTTGCAGTTTGAGTCCCCCATTGGAGCCTGTGTTTTAACACTTGGTCCCCAGATGGCGGCGCTGTTTGGGAGATGACTGTGTAACTTTGGGAGCAGGAGCCTGGCTGGAGGAGGTGTGCACTGGGCCAGGCTGGGCTCCCTTTATGCCTGCTCTGTTTCTTGTTTGTGGACAGGGTGTGTTGACCAGCCACCTCATACCCCTCCTTGGGATGCCTTCCCTGCCCTGGGGCACTGTATCTCCTAGGGCCATAAGCCCAGTCACACTAAGGAGGCATCCCCCCCAGGAGCTAGATTCACGCAGGCGGAATCCACACCTTTGCTGGCAAGTACTCTGAGGTTACCAATCACAGGGCAGTTTGGAGACTCAGTGGTCATGAGTTCCCAGGAAGGCCAGAGCCTCATCTATTGACTCATTCGTGCTGATAAGGGGAGGGGCATGATTCAGAACCATGGCATTTGTGGTTTTCAGTCTTGTGTCAAGATATGGCTCCTCTGCCTTACTTCACTCCTAACCTGTTATAAATTCTCTTAGAACCACCATGTGACTCTGGAGACTGGAGCTGGCTACCAGAACAGGGAACAGCCAGCACAAAGTTTTGGTGACTTAGCTCTCTTCTTTCAAAGCCTGGGTTGGTTCCTTCATCCATGTGCTACTTTTCAAACAAATTATCTGGACTGTGTCTGACTTCAAAAGATGCTGTGTTTGTACATAGCATAGCTTTCAGATGTTTGTAAAGCAGGGCCACAGAACTAAGCCTGGTTGTTGCTAGGGTGAGGGCAGAAATGATCATTAGAAATTGATATATCTGCATGTGGTCAAGAAATGGGTCTTTACTCAAAGGAGAACATAGAGACATTCTGTTTTTGTTTTTCTCTGTTTTATGTTTAAATGTACTGGCCCTAGTTAATACCCATCAGTGGCCCCCAGAGGCCCCTTGTGGCAATACTTCTAGGAGAGGAGCCTGCAGATCACCTAACCTCCGAGGCTGCTGGAGGAGGTTTTGGCCCTCAAGCGCAGCCGCTGTCAGAGGGTGGGAAGCCTGCAGTGCCATGTGCTGTGGCTTGCTGCCCTGTTTACTTGCTCGGATGTGTGTTTTGGGATTAGTTTTAAGGACTTATTAATTAGATGCACACAGGGGACCTTGTAAATGCTTAATTACCTGCATGCTTATTGTATAACGGCATCTAAAGGCGGCTCATTATTTTCATTCATATTCTGTTCCCATTTCTTTGTGACCGCGTTCCAGATGAAATGCACTTCCACAATAGAGCATTTCTTTGTGATTTCTGTCTGCTGTCTTTCAGAAAGTATAACTAAAACTGAGGCTCACCAGTGATCCTAGAGAAAGGGGTGGGGAGGAAAGGGTGTTATGGGGTGGGGGCAGAAGCCAGAGGAAGGAAGAGGGTGCAGCAAGATAGGGCAAGCCTGGTAGGCACAGCATAGCCACAGTGTTTGAGAACAGGTCCTGGGTTAGGGAAGGGGAGCCAATGAGGAGAGACACAGACTGAGAGCTCTGCATGCAGACCCAGGCAGACAAACATGGAGAGAGACATGAGAGACCAGCCCAGGATCAGAGGTGGAAGCAGGAAGTCAGTCTGACCTACCAGTAGGAACTCTCCCTTTTTCTTAGGACACATCCATTCCCCAGGCTGCTGAGGACCCACACATCTGCTTGCTTCATTCTGGTATTATGGTTCCCTGTGTGCTGGGTACTGGAGAAGAGATCTGGATGCAGGATGACTATCAGGGAGCAAGCAGCTGGGCTAGAAGTGGAAGACTGTGGAGCAGAGCTGCTCGCTATAAGGCAGCCAGAAAGCAGGAAGGAGCAGAGGGAGCCAGGGCACCAGCACCTGCTGCACAGGGTGGATAGTCTGTGCTTAAAACGGGGATAAAGACTGTTTCCACCATAGCTTAAACAACCTGTTAGAACAGTGTGTACAACAGGAACTGGCTTGTCAGGGGATCCTGGTATTGGTACCCTGGCTTCTTCTGGTCTTTCTGTTTTCTGGCCACTATGAGGTGGCAACTGTGTGCCACCATGTGCTCCCCACTGTGTGCTCCCACCATGTGCTCCCCACTATGTGCTCCCCACTGTGTGTGCCCACCATGTGCTCCCCACCACGTGCTCCCCACCATATGCTCCCCACCGTGTTCTCCCGCCATAGTGGTCTTCCTCTCTGTGACTAGAAACAATGGAGCAAAGTGGTCATGGGCCGACACCTCGGAAGCCCTAGGCCAAAATAAACATCTCCTCTCTTAGGTTCTTTCTCTCAGGCTCTTGGCGTCCATTGATCTGGTGATGCTGCCTGCATCTGACTTGACTTTCCTTGCCTGGCCCCCAGGAATTGTAATTGGCTCACAGCACATAAGGCATCAAACACAGACTGTTGGGGGCCCCTGCTGTGAAGTCGTAGTCTCTCCATGTCCGGGTGGCCCATGGGCTTGGTTTTCATATGCAGATGACTCCTTTCAGCAGAGTACCTGGCATCTTCCTAACTCTCCTTTTGAAGTGCCCGCCACAAATGCCCTAACACAAACATGGCCTCTGGCTCTAGGAATACCATGCTTTCCTGTGTGATTTTTCAGGTAGTCAGCGGTCTGGCAGCATGGCAGAAACCCACTTCCATATGCAAATAGAATGTCTCACAAAGTATCTATCAGCCAAAGCTTTTACCACTACCCCCATGGTATAAATATCCTAGTCTTCTCTCAATAATTTGGAGCTAGAAGCGGAGCTGGAGCTAGAGCAGGAACTGGGTCACTGAGACTTGGAATAAAGAACTGTACCACGGAATCTGACTGAGCTGAGTCTGTGTCTCCTGCCTGCAATCTAGTCTCCCCGGGGGGCAGCATTCCTCCGTCACCGGCTCACGGATCCCAGCTTCAGCCGCCTCGCGCTCTCCCGCATGATCCAGTGGCCAGTGGATCTCGCATCAAGAGGAAAGCGCACGGGGGAAATTAAGGCGGTACACGGCTGGACAACGCTCCAGCAGCAGAGACCCACAGAGACACGGAGAAGCCTGCGGGGCCAGACCCGCTTTCTTCCAGGGCGCGCGGCTAAGATCAGGGGACCGATCCCCGCGCCGCAACTCTCCAGGTGTGCCCGCGCACACCATGCCAGGGCGCCCAGCGCGCGCGTGCCATAACAGACGCCTGCTATTTTCAGTGCCAGAGCTCAGCGTTAGAGGTCTTCCAGGACAGCTCCACTTCTAAAGTCAAACAGTGTATGTGACAACAGGCAAAAATGGATCTTACGGGGCTGGAGAAACGGCTCAGTGGTTAAAGCTCTGGCTGCTCTTGCAGAATACCTGGGTTTGAATCCCACTCCCACATGGCAGCTAACAATTGTCCATAACTCCAGTTCCAGGGGATCTGACAGCCTCTTCTGTCCTCCAGGGGCATTTCACAATATGGGTGCACTTACATACATGCAGGCATATAGCACTCCTACACATTTAAAAATGTGCATACATATACATATACATATACATATACATATACATATACATACATACATATCTATCTATATCTTATATTCAGCCCCCTACCTCCTGGGGACAACCTAGGCCCTAGCATATGCCGACTAAGTGCCCAACCACTGACTGCACCCCCAGCCCTTGATTTGCAGCTTCTACAATTTGTTTAAATTTAAGATTTTTGGAGCAGTACATGAGTCTCACTTGCTAAACAAGGATTTAGTGACATGGAGCTATTCAGAAAACGAAGGGCACCAACTCTCCTGTTGATGCCTGAAGAGTCTGAGGTCTTCCTTTCCCTCCTCTAAAAGCTCATGAGGCCTGTCAGGCTCTCCCAGAGCAGGGAGGCAAGTTAGACGGTGGACAGTGGAGTCCCCACTCAAAGCCAGGGAGCAGCCTATTGAATTCATGGATGGGGGAGTGGGACAAGGCAGCTCTGCTGGGGGAGAGGTGCTTACAGGCCTACAGGACCCCATGGCTTCCAGGGTCATCGATTATCAGGAAGGGAAAGTCCATCACTGTTTTAAGAAAGGGAAGTTGAGGGAGATTTGTTGGAAACCAGCCTGACTTTTCTGCTTGTATGTTATGTAAATGTTGTCAGCTTGGGCCTTGACAGTAGAAAGCAGGACACAAACACGGGTGGTTCCTGCCACTGAGAACCAGAGCCTGGCTTCTTATTACCTGTGCTCTTGCCATAGCAGGATTGGAACTCGATGCAAGATAGCTGTGCTTTAGCGTCTCTCTCCCTGCCTTGCTTACGGAGCTAGTGGCCGTTAGTCCTTTGGGCCAATTGACTGCCCTTCAGAGAGTTCATGGGCCAGTTGTTCAACGTGGGTCTTGATGCAGGTGCTCGTAGAGTGGAACCAAGTCTAAGGGCCAAGTCACTTATTCTCCCATGACTGAGGCCAAGCCGTGTGACAATGCTGAATCGTGCCATGTGCCACGAGGGGACAGGGAAGCCAGGTGGGGGACACCACAGCCCCCCTGCCTGCCCACTCCTGGTACTGATGTGGATGCTTGCTTCTGTGTTACAGGCGCTCACGTCATGCAGAGCCTTCCTCCTGTCGGCACGCATCCCTACGAAGGTAAGTCTTGTTGAGTCCTCTTTCTGAGATGGGCAGGAACACGCGTACTGCACACGTGGATACACACTTGGGTATACTCACATGTGGGTACACACACTTGGGTATACTCACACCTGCACATATGCACTTACAGAGATACTCTTGACACAGGCGTGTTCAAACTTTTGACATTGCAACATTATATTAGTTACTTTCTGTAACCAAGGCAACTTATAGAAGGCAGAATTTATTTGGCTTATGGCTCCAGAAGGATGAGGGTCCATCATGGTGGGGAGGAGGGAGGGATAACCGGTCAGAGGAGAGGGCTGACCACTCAGGAAACAGAGAGGGACAAAGTGGAAGTAGACTAAGGCTCTGACCGCTCAAAGCCCACCTCCTGTGACTTGCTTCCTCCAGCAAGGCCACACCACTTAGGGATTCAGTGACCACCCCCATCAGCACCTCGGACTGGGGAAATTCAGATACTTGGAGCCATGGGGGCCTTTTTTCATTTATATCTCTACAGGCCTGGGGTTGTCATCTGCAAGGGTTTTTGGCCCATCCCTAACTGTAGGAATGTATGGATGCATGTGACCTGTGCGCTGCAAGTTGGACACACTTTCTCTAACATATCAGGCACTCACGCCTCCACTGCACACACACAGACACACAGACACACACACAGACACAAAGACACACACAGACACACACACAGACACACAGACACACACACAGACACACACAGACACACACAGACACACAGACACAGACACACACACAGACACACACACACAGATGTGTCCAGAGTTTTCTTAGAACACATGTTTTGTTTCCTTCCTCCCCAGAATACCCCAGAGATTGTCATGAAGGGCGTTTTTTTACTTCCTTTCTTATCTCTGTATAAAGGCCCAAGACAAACGGGGAGGCGTTTTGCTCCCTGCGTCCCCAGGCCCCTTGTCCCTGTCAGTTCCTCCCTCAGCTGTGCTCTGTCAAGTCTCTTTATTCCCTTTCTGCAGAAGGGGCAGATTTTTCTCAGGCTTTGACATGTGGAAAATAACCTTCCATACTCTAAAAGGTATACCACAGGGTTCACTGCAGGGTCATGGGTGCCTGAACCCTCCCTACAGTCTTGCCTGTGAAAAGAAATTCTGCAAGTTCTGTTCTTTGAAGATCTTTCCAGTAAATCTTTCTTCCCTTCCCCCAGGAGCTGATCCCTTCCTTACCTTCTTCTCCCCTCCCTCCTCTCTCTTCCCCTCCCCTGCCCTTTTCTCTTTCCTTTTCCAGGTCTCACTCTCATCTGAAACTCTCATCTGAAGCCCCATATGCGTGGGGAGGGGGGAGCTGCTCTGAACTCACTGTAGTCCTATCTTAGCTTCCCAGGTTGTGGGGTTGTAGGTGTGAGCCCCCGTACCTGGCTCTACATGTGAATTCATCTAAAGTTTCTCCAAGGAAAGAGACTTGATACAAAGTGAGCCTTCATCTTTACAGTGTTATAAATAAATTAGTTACTATGGCAACAAAGTTCCACTAAACTATCCCTGAAGGCAGAGGGGGTGTGACCCTGTAATGGAGACAGGAGCCTGTTGAATTCCCGGCAAGCCTGGGCTACATAGTACCTTAAAACATGCGGGTGGTGGAGAGGAGGGGGGCTGGCAACACTAAACACCGTGAGGCAGAGTGAATGGAGCATTATCTCACTGGTGCAATAGTAATTGCAGAGGGATTTTTTTTCTTCTTTTTGGGGGAAAAGGTCTCCCTAGTCCCAGCCCACCTGGAAGTCAACTGTGTGAACCAGGCTGGCCTGGATCTCAAAGAGATCTTCCTGCTGCTGTCTCTTGAGGGATAGGATTAAAGGTGTATGCCATCATGCCCAGTGCAGAGGGAATTTTTATGCGCTTGGGAAAATAGTTCACTTTTCCTGCTGAAAGAGGGCTCCAAAGCTCAGTGTGGGAGTTCATTCACACTTGTAATCCCAGCATTTGGGAGGTGGAGGCAGGAAGAGCAGGAGTTCAAGGGCATCCTCAGTTACATAGCAAGTTCCAAGCTAACCTGGGCCACATAGTGAGTTCAAGGCCAGCCTAGGTGGTATAAGTCGCCATTTGGAAAATGAACCAGAGATGGCTCCTGATAATGCTTGGGTGTACACGTGAAATATCCCACATGCGTAGACATACGCATACAGTAGAGACACACATCTCAGATTAATTGCAAAAGAAACAGGCAGGCACGGTGGCACACATTTGTAGTTCCAATATTTGGAGGAGTTAGAGGTAGGATTGCTGTACATTCAGGGCTATCCTGGGCTATTTAGTGAGTACTAGCCAGCAACCAGGGCTCAACATGGATGGGGAAAGAGAGCGCAAAGGGGCCTCTGTAGCACTGGAGACCGAACTCGGAGCCTCGTGCATGCTGGGCAAGCACCCTGCCAACCGAGTTACAGTGCCAGGTCTCCTGTGCATTTCCAGTAATAACACAGGACGCTGAGTCGGCCAGGCCCAGCCAGTCCTTCCTTACTGCACGTTGCACCTGCGGGGTCCGTCCTCTCAGCTTCTGCCTCATGCTAGTTCTTTTTGTACATTTTTGCCTGTGTAAGAATTTTTTTCCTCTGCCTGAATTTCACTTCCACCCTGTTTGTTCATCAAACCTGAGGTTTTTCTTCAAGGCCCTACCTGAATGTTGGCGGTCTTTCTGGCTCTGCTGGCCTAGTGAAAGCCCTTGCCTGGACACAGTGTGAGCACCTTAATTGATGTCCTCCTCATGGTCAGTGAGCCAAGTTGACAAAAGTAACCGGTTCACACCCCTGCTGACTGATGCCAGTGGTGTGTGCACGGCTGTCCGGCAGTTTGGCAGTTTGCACCTGCTCACATCTGCTGAATGAGATGCCTACCAAAGGTCCTGGCATGTTGTTGATAGAGCAGTTATGCGAGAGGCTTTTATTTTATTTATTTATTTATTTATTTATTTATTTATTTATTTATTTTTGTCTTTTTTCAAGACAGGTCTCCCTGTAGCCCCAGCTGTCCTGGAACTCACTATGTAGACCAGGCTGGCCTCAAACTCACAAAGATCTGCCTGCCTCTGCCTCCCAAGTGCTGGGATTAAAGGCGTACGCCACCATGCCCGGCTCACAAGAGGCTTTTATTGAGAAGTCTTTTGCACAGCAGCTGCACACGAGTACACAGGGAGGCAGTGCTTTGAGACACGGAGGCCAGTAGAAGTGGATTATGTAGAAGACTTACCATCTGGAGGATTATACAGTGGTTAAAATTTGAGGCAGGATGAAAAGTTGAACAACCTAAAGCCATTTTCTCTCTCTGTCTCTGTCTCTCTTTCTTTTGAAACAGGATTTTACTATTTAACCCTCTCCAGCTTGATACTTATTGTGTAATCCAGATGGCCCTGAACTCATGGCAATCCTACCACATTGTAGGTTCCTTTAAGTTTTCTTTTTTTTTTTTTTTGATAGAGGGTCTCATGTAGCTCAGGCTAACCTTAAGGATGACCTTGAACTCCTAATCCTCCTGCTTCCACCTCCCAAGTGCTGGAATTACAGGCATGTGACCCACACCTGGGAGTATAGTGTGGTGCTGGGACTCAAACTCAGTGCTTTGTGTTTGCTAGACGAGGACTGTGCCAACAGAGCCCCCCCTCACCTCCCCCCCCCGCGCCATCCCCAAATTCTGTTTCTTTAGGAACTCCAGTTGGAAGCTGAAGACCTGCCTTACAAGTAGATCAGCTGTTGGGCTTGACTCAGAAAGACTTTGGCACTGTGAAAGAGTGGACCGTGAAAGCACATTTATAAGTTTTAAAGTAATATAGGGAGCTGTGTATGCTTTTTAGGACATAATTCCTTGCTTTAAATGACTTGTAGACAATCTAAACCAGGTGTGGCTCTTGGTACTAGTAGGTAGAAAAATCACTTTAATTGGGTGTTGGAGAATATGCCTTACATCTTGGTTTTTCAGTTTCCAGTGCAGCACACAGTAGGCTCTTCAGAAATGCCTGCTAGTTGAACAAGTAAATTATTATTAAATTATTAAAGAATGGATTCATTTATATTCATATTCTGTCTCTCTGTCTCTCTGTCTCTCGGATCAGGATCTTACTATATAGCCCTCTCTGGCCTGATACTTATTGTGTAACCCAGATGGCTCTGAACTCATGGTGGTCCTCCTGTCTGAGCTTCTCCTCCTGAATGCTGAGATCACAGATGTGAACCTCCATGCACAGGTCTATGAATTCTCCTTTGAGACATCACACTGTCCCGCCCATGTACCATGGCACATGACACAGCATGTCAGCAGGGGGCACAGCTAAGTCCCTGTGGGTTGACTCTGGATGTAATCCTTGACCACTACAGGTGGCCCTCTGTATCCATGGTCTCTTCATCTTTAGGTTCGATAACATGGATCCAAAATATTTGAAGAAAATAGTTGCCTCCCTGCAGACTCTTCCTGTCATTCTTCCCTAAGCACAGCTGTCCACCACGCTGCACCTTTCTTGTGTTGGGCGTTTTAGGAAATGTAAAGACGACTTTTATACAGGAAGATGAGAGCATGTGCAAAATGTGTGCCCTTGTATCGGGACTTGAACACCTGCAGTTTTTGGTACGGGGTGGGGGGGTCCCCCACAATTCCCTGGGGTACCAAGGGATGACTGACTGTTTCTAGATTTAACGTGGGGAGCTGGGGGAGCGGGGGAGGAGACACAGGGTCCAGCTATCTCCTGCTCTCTCCAGTTTCTTCTCCTGTAACATGTGTAAGTGAAAGACTGTGAAACTGGGACAAAGGTTAGTGATGGGAGATCAGGAAAAAAAGGGAAGGATAGACTGGAGGAGGCTTCAGACAGGAGGCTGAGGAGGCAGCTTAGTGGCAGAGTACCCTTCTGGCTTGCTGTTGTTAAAATTCCTTCCCTAGAGGAGATGTAAGCAACATCGTCTCCCCCAAGGTCCCAACAACAAACCAAGGTACAATTCCACCAGAGTTCACCCTGCAAACCAATGCAATTATTCGGCTTAGTTACAGAGCATAGATGAGAGATCACTTCCAGGAGTGTGTGTGCCACCCCCCAAAAGCCACACAGGATAGTCTTCACCCAGCGTGGATGATGAAGTCCCCTTAGCTGCGTAGATGTGGCTCCCTTTCCCTAGTTTTCCCCAGCCTGTCCGGTCCCTCCCCAAGGCCATGTGCAAGGCAGAATTTCCCACAGAGGGTTGGGCAGAGTGGCTGGATATGCAGGTGAGGGTCCCCTGACCCTCCCCTCCCCACCTTCTGTGAGGAGACATCAATAGTCACTGAGCCCAGCTATGAAAATCTTTTAGCGGGGGACATGCATAGTTGGGGGTGCAGCTGAGCTCATGGAGATGGCAGTTGTTTGATTCAGAGGACAGTCCTGTATGACCCGTGTGCATGCTGGATTTGATCCTTAGCATCATAAAATGGAAAAAAAGATTAATAAAATGAAAAGGTATAGACCTTTCTGTGTGGTTTGTCCCGGGACGGGATTTAGAAGCCAAGCATGTGTGTTTTCACCTCATGAGGTGGGCAACACTCTTCTGAGATTCGATGAATCCCAGCTCAGTCCTGACGTCTTCAGAAGATGCCGGGATCTAATTATAGCACGTTTAACCCTCAGATGGCATGTTTTTAAGCCCTCATTACAGGTCTGGTTCCCTTTTCCCTTCATTACAGCTCGAGTTAACCTTCAGCTACCTGGAGATTCATGGTCTTACCTGCCACAAGCCAGCCCAGGTGAGTGTGGGGAGTGTGAACCCAGGGGCTTGGCTGCGGCCACAGCAGCCACGAAAGTTTCCTGAGACAAAGAGACCAAGACGGAAGTGGAGGGTTAGGACTGCCAGGCTTGGGGCCTGCGTGGGCAGGGTAGAAACTTGTTACTGTCTATTGCTGTGATAAACTGTTTTGCTAAACACCACGACCAAAACCAGCTCGGGAGGAAAGATTTATTTCATGTTCAGCTTATAGTTCCTCATGGAGCGGAACCAGGGTGGGATCTGGAGAACAGACCGTGGAGGAACGTTGCTTACTGGCTTGTGCTCAGCCTTTCTTTCTTTTTCTTTCTTTCTTTCTTTCTTTCTTTCTTTCTTTCTTTCTTTCTTTCTTTCTTTCTTTCTCTCTCTCTCTCTCTCTC